TGGAAATCAATGGGAAAAAAAAAATCCTCGGGTAAGGATTCACAAAAAAAGTGCTTTACAATCATTTCTGTCTCTCATGCCATCTTTCTGTTATTTCTACTAGTCGTTTCACATTAGCAAGCCAGGAGCCACATGCCTCTGACAGGAACCCTGCTCTGGGGTGGTGGGTCTGTGCACGTCTGAGTGATACTTACTGGCTTACACAGGTCCCGGTCGGTTTTCGCCTCCATTTCCCAGATGTGGTGGCCATCTAGGAGAAAGGGGCACAGGAAGTCTGTTACTCTGGTGCCTGACTGAGCACATCCCCCAAAACGCCCACCTTGGTCCAGGCAGGTGGCCCCAGGGACAGCAGCCTCTGAGTAGAGGGCCCACCCCCAGCCCACTCAGGCTATTAACCAGCAAGAGCAGAGAGTCACCCCTGGNGTGCCTGACTGAGCACATCCCCCAAAACGCCCACCTTGGTCCAGGCAGGTGGCCCCAGGGACAGCAGCCTCTGAGTAGAGGGCCCACCCCTAGCCCACTCAGGCTATTAACCAGCGTGACGGCCAAAGAGTGGACACCAGTCCCATGGGGAAACACTGGGGGACTCACACCCCAACTCAGATGCAGAGAACCTGGCGGAGCCCAAAGACCTGGCTCTGTAGGACACAGCCTCCCTGTGGGGTGGGGGGTACCCTCAGAAATCACCCTCTGCCCATTGTCACCCCCACATCAGTCAGGGAAGGGTTTCCACATGCCTGTCTCCAAGGGAGCTCGAGCCCAGGAGAACTAGGGTGACCACAGTGAACAGTGCCCCGTCCTCAGACCTGGAGCCAGCTGAGCGCTGGCTCTCACCCGCCGATTCCGGCCTCCCGGGTGCACAGTGACCACCAGCCTACAGAGCCTGCTGTGCCCTTGGGGAGCAGAGTCACTAATAAGCAGGGTCCAGGAGCCAGGTCCACAGGGTGAGAAAGTCCTTTCTTTGACTACTACGTGCCACACCAGACACAGACATGCAGAGCCCACGGGATGTTAAACCTCACCCAGTGCCGTTTGCATGTTTAAAAAAATTAAGTCTCCCTGGCCAGTGTGGTTCAGTGGTTAGAGTGTTGGCCGAGCACCGAAGGGTCTCAGGTTTGATTCCTGGTCAAGGGCACACACCTGGGTTGCAGGTTTGATCCCCGGCCCCGCTTGGGGCATGTGTGGGAGGCAACCAGTGAATATTCCTCTCTCACATCCATGTTTCTCTCTCCCTTCCACCCTCTTTGCAAAGCAATGGGAAAAATATCCTCAGGTGAGGGTTAACAAACAAACAAACAGACAAATAAAAAGTCTCTCAAAGGGGCAGGGGGAGGGGCTTTGTTCCTGGGCCGGGGCCCCAGGGAGGCAGGTGGCCCCTCACTAACCAGGACTCTCCGCAAACTGAACTCTGGTGTGTGGAAGCCCCTGACTGGTGGGCGCATTGCTTGGGGACGGGCTCTGTGGGAATTCTGAGTTAATAGGTGTCAACCCCCCAGGGGCCTGTTCCCTCTTTATCTTTTATAAAGTCGGTTCTTCCACAAGCATTAGTTTCTACTTACGCTCTGTTTTCAAAGAAAAAAATGTGTGTTACAGACTCTAAATTATAAGTAAATAGACAAGCTCTCCTCCTCTCTCCCAGGGGCTGCCGGGCAGGGCGGAGGTGGAGACGAGAGGAAGTGTGAGTCACGGACACTGGGCCACACCAGCCTCTGGGGAGCCAGGGCCCTCTCACTTACAAGATATGGACCTCGGCCCCAGGGGCCGGCACCCACACCACCTCCAGGAAGAGACGACGGAACTGAAAGAATGGACGGCACTCAGGCACCTGGAGCCTGGCAGAGCTCACCGCCTGGGGACTGTGCGTCTACATTCACTGCCGGCCGGCCCAGGACTCCTCCCCACCAGCTTCTGAAGATCAGGTCCTTTAAGTCACAGACACTGGCGCTGACACATACAAACGTCTAAGTTGGGCTCTGGGAACCCCCAAAGTACACGCACCCTTCTAAGCCAGGGTCCCCTGAGCCCACCCGTTCACCCGCTCAGGGAGTGCCGAACCGAACCGCTGGGGCTCTGGCCCTGTTTCCTGAGGTCTTCCTGTCTGTGGCTGATCCACATCCAAGGGACCGGGCACCTGGTGCTCCTGTGTCTACTCAGAGCCCCTAAAGGAGCCGACATCTTTTAAAGACCAGCATCTGTTCACACACAGCCGTTGTCCAGGGGAGTCAGGACCTCGGGGGGTGAGAGATGGCCAATCTCCGACTCTTAGGAAACCATCAGCAGGGCTTGGCTCCCATCCCCACAGCCCAGCCTCGGGCCGCCCTCTCCGCGCGGAGCCCGGCCAAGGCCTGGGTGTTGTGCTCAAAGTCAGCCTCGCTGGGAAGGGAAATCGGCCTGAATGGGCCTTTGTGTTCAGCTTATCGGGTGCCTGCTGGGTTCTCAGTAGGAAACTGTGCACAAGCCCAGAAGTAAAAATATTCCCAGTCATTAGGGAATTCCCTGCAGCGTGAGTCATCCGAAAGGCTTCCCCACCACACCCGCCAGGAGGCTCCCAGGCGGCCTGTGGGCTGGGGCGGCTCCTCCCCGGCAGCCTCCTCTCCAGCGGCCTTGGTCACACACCTCGGCCTGCCCTGGCCGAGCGGGTCCTCACAAAGTCCCGGCTGCCACAAGCCATCCTGGGGCACTCTTCTCAGGCCGGGAGGGTTCTGAGAGGCTCGGCATTAGCCCAGGATCTGTGAGCATCCAGCAGAAACGGCACGGAAATAACAAAAGCGCTGGGTCAAAAGTCCTTGGTTTAAAGTGCGCGACACCTGCTTCCAGAGACTCGGGCTCCTCAGGCCCTTGGCCACACGCATGGTGCCTCCTCCTGTCCAGCCGCAGGAGTGGGCTGCACACTTGTTCACAGGTCCCTGTGAGACACACTGTGTCCAGCCTGAGGCCAAGTGAGACCTGTGCTGTCACTGGGCTGCTGGCTGTCAGGGAAGGCGGCTTTCTGACGTGTACACAGGTGGTCATCTACCCACGGAGAGACTCCGAGAGGAGTGTGCTGGGCCTGACCTAGGGGAGGTTTGGGGAGGGGCATCTGGACGCTGGCCCCAGGGACTCAGGTTAGCAGGCCGTGCGTGTCAGGATCAGCTGAGGGTGCTCATTCAATTGTTCTGTCCATTGGCCGCCTCCATCCTCAGAGCCCTCCCCAGGCCTCACACACAGCAGCGTCCCCACAGAGCCGCTAGGACCAGCCTGCTTGGCTCAGACACAGGAGTGGAAAGGAAATTACGCACGTGCTGTGGGACAGCCTGGCGGTTCCTAAATGGTCAAACGTGAAATTTCCATGTGGCCGACAACTGCAGCCCCGGGACCATGCCCAGGGAAGGAGCACCCTTGTACCAATGGAAACCTGGGTGTGATGCTCAAGAGAGCACTGAGCTCCACTGACAAAGAGTGGACACAACCTGAGGCCCCTACCGACAGTGGACAGACGGTGTGTAGCGGTCCACCTCCACGGGGTGCAGCTCTCACACGGGCTCCCGCAGGGACCAGTCGTGAAAACGGCCTAGAGTTCATGCTGATGGTAGAGTGGCTCCAAGTTACCCAAACCACTGAACTTAGACAGGTGGGCTGTGCGGTCACTGAGTTAGTTACATCTCAGAGTTGACGTGAAAAATACATTCTCCCGCACAACCACGGGGGGCGCTGCTATGTCGAAGCCCAGGGAGAAGACGGAGGCGAGGCTGGGGCGCCACCCTGCCCTCTCCCACGCCTCCCACCTGGGAGCCAGGGCAGAACTTGGAGGAGGAGAGCTGTGGTTTGGGGCAAGTCAGAGGGAAGGACCAGCCATCCCCGGAGAGAGGTTTCCGTGACAACCCACAGGAGGAAGGATACAAGACCTGTGGTCTGGCTGTCAGAGCACCTGTGGGTGCCTGTGGAGAGGCCCTCCTGCCCACACCCGGGCCAGCGGCACAAGCCACCTCGCCTCCCATCCTCAGTCACTATCCCTGGGGGGACAGGCGTGTCCAGGGCCATGAAGGGTTCAGAAGTCAAGCTGAGCCCCACCTCCTGGACCAGCAGCTACACCGCTCACTTCCCTCCCAGGTCCCTCAAAATGCTGGCCTCGGAGGTCAGCCTGGGATCCCACAGGTCAGGCCTGTAGGGAGTGAGGTCCCCTGGGCTGGGCTGAAGCCACATGGCTCGCGCTGGGATGAGTGCACTTCCTGGGACCTCCCTGAACCTGAGCGGGGGCAGGGGAAGGGGCAGGCGTCTGGGACGAGCGGACATGGCCCCCCGGCCCTGCCCACGCGGGGGCTCCTGGCAGCTCACTTTCCTCCCAAGACAGTTCAGGATGTTGTGCAACTTGGAGCTGCCAGGTCATCTTTCTGTTCTGAGGCCAGAAACGCAGGAAAAGGCCTTCTCAGGACATGGGTAGCCTGGCTCACTGCGGCTCTCACACCTTCCACTCGCTGGAAACCGAGAGACTTAGAAATAGTCCTGGAAGCTTTCCACTGCCCGCATCAGCTGGCCCGGCCGAGAGCCCACCCGGGATGCAGGTGGTCATGGAGGAGGTCAGCACCCAACGGCTGACGTGGACAAGCTCTGTGACGGCAGCTGTCGGGTGCACAGACGTCCCGCCCGCTTTCCCACGTCCGTGCCAGGAAAGTCTGGAAGGAGCCTCTCTTCCCCCATGCCAAGTCGCCAAGTCGCCAAGTTGCCAAATCATGGCTTCCGGGGGTGTGAGCCGCACCGCACGCCTGTGTGTTGGATCTGGGGAATTTCCAAACGTCCTCAGAGGCCTTGTGTCGAGGACACAGGTCTACAGCCTGCAGCCAGGACACACGGGGCTCCCGCACAGCCCCAGCCTGGGATCGGACCAAGGAAGACGGGCTGACCACTGGCTGGGGCTGCACTGAGTCCTCCCGGCTGGAGCGCCAGTTGGATGACCAGGGCGAGCGAAACACGACCTGCATGGCTCTGGCCCAGCTGCGAATGCATCAGGGAGAGAGTTGGGGGCACCCAGACCGCCAGGTGTCACTCATGGCCCAGCCAGCACAGCCAGGGCGCAGGCCACAGCCCCTAAGGCAGCGAGGGTGGGGGCGCTCACACACTCCACGCACACACCCGGACACACCTGCTCACACTCAATACCAGACACACACCTGCTCAGTTACCCAACCTGCTCACACTCACACATTCACTCACATACACCCTGCACACACTACTCCTGAACTGGCCCTTCGGGCCCAGGTCCCGATGACAGGC